ACCACTAACTTCCAACTACTGATGAGATTAAGATTGTGTAGCCTTCAAGGTGCAGTGCTTAATCAAAGCAAAGGGAGAACATTAAGGCTTATCCTTCCATGCTGAAGTATAGAAATCTAGACCTAAACGCCCCTGTCACCTTGCACTTCAAAATCCATATTACGTTCTTAACTTTGCAAGTGATATTTTTTTAATTTTCATTGAAATTCAATAAAGATAATTTTGTGGTATAATAACACAACAATAGAGGGTTTTCGAGCAAAACTGATGAATTGTCAGTTTCTGTGTTTAACTACGTAAGGTAACACTTAAAATTAATAAAACTCGCCATTGTGTAAAATGATGTCGGAATCCGACACGCGATTGTTACAAATGACATACATCGAAATTAACTGTAGTCGCTTTAAAAATAAACGAAACTAGGCAACAATGAGACAACTCGTTAAAATTCTGTTTCAGTCAGTTCGGTCGATTGTTTAATTCCTCGCACAGAAGAGCAGATGAGACGGAATTAACACGAGTTTTCGTAAGAATAAGTTTACGAAACCTAACCTAAAAATAATTTCTAAATCTGACATTTAAGTTATTCTTTATTTACACTTACAGGACCCTCGTATTGATACAAAAATAACTTACACAATATTTATATACATAAAGCAGTAGTATATATGTATGTACAATAAATAAAACAGACCTACGAAATACATGAGTTGGAAGGAAGAAGGAGAAAGGGAAACCTTTTCGTTATAATTAAGCAAATTCGTCTTTTCTTGCGTCAATGATGATTTTTACATACTAATTCTATTTTATCTAGTCACATTATTACAGTCATTTATTTTATAATATTACTTAGCACTTTTCTTTATATTTCCTACTTACATTTATTTCTTCCACGATAAATAATTGAAAGAATAAAAATATTACTAAAATATTTCTAGTCTAGATGGCAGCACCGATACCGATATATTCGTAAATAATGCTCGCATTTCAATATTAAATCAAATATTCGAAATCCATTATTTTACAAGAAATTTTTTTTTTAAAAAAATTCTACAACTGATCGTGAAATCTTTCTCAGAATAAGCCTAAGAGATTTAATCATTAGCGCAATATATGAACAGCGAACATAAGCTTTGGTTCCACTTTTATTTAATCAGACAGCAACGGACGCTCGGAACACAATTTTTCCACAATACTTCAGCCCTGAAGATGGAAACAATATGTTCCTCCGAAACGTCAGTATCTATCTACAAGTCCACACGGCATTACTACCCGTAAAACCAATATTGATGCATGTCTTTCGCACTATCGCCATGTTTTTTTTTCGGAGATTCGCCATGTTCCCGGCGACGGACCACGTGGTATCTTCAAACCGGAAGAAAATCGAGAATTTGACTGCGAATTTCGTAAGTCCAAGACGCAGTGGATATTAAGGAGGTCTCTGGCCTTAATTTCTTAACGTATTATTATAAAGACCGATGTTTCGCGTCTTTGCAACAAAAATTCGCGTAAAATAATCATAAACCAACTTGAATATAACAGAGGGGTTTTTCTTATCGACGAAAATCGCTCTCCCATTTTGATGATGGCAGAAAATAAGGGCGCGAAAAACGTCTTTCGCTTCAGAAATTATTTAAATTACATCAGAATCGGTAGCGAAATCGTTTCATTTTACGATTATATTTTATTTTCCCTGTGAACGCGATAAAGCATTCGACTTATTCACCAAATATCATCAAAATCACCAAATCAACGAGTCTGAGATGGGCAAGGAACATAGCGCGCATGGGGAGACAGAAAATGACAGAATTTTAGTCTGAAAAAAAAACCTGGGCGTGACCGCGTGAAAATATTATAAAGGACGTTAAATCGAAAGGTGCAGATTGGATTCATCTGGCTCAGGACTGGGACGGCGGTGGATTCTTATGAACACGGTAACGAGCCTTCGGGGTTTCAAAGAAAATGGAGAATTTGACTAGCTAAGCGACTATTAGCGTGTTTAATGGCGTTAGATATATTTATAAATAACGGAAAAATAGGGATGTGGGAATTTAAGTTTTGGCGAGCTACGAATATTCAAGTTGCGCGGTAATTTTAATTCTCTTGGGCAGTTCGACGCGCGGTCCTCTGGAACACGTCCCGGAAAGAAAAGTGTTCTTCCGGTCTACGTATTGTTTGACTCCACGACGTTCATTTTACCGCGAGGTCGAATTACGTGGACTCGCCCCCGTTCCTACGACGACGTCAGACATTTTCAAGAAGAAAGTTCTTGGGAGGGGGGGGGGCAATTGAAACACGTCACAAAAATTACGAATTACATCAAAACACCGACTTCCGCGACTCTGAATTCTTGTTTCAGAAGCATCGACAATGGAAATGCTTTCAAAAGCTCACAGCGTCACTTTAAAAATTCAAGTTATACATTAAGAACAACACAGCTGAAGACGTAATAATTACTCGTAGTGCAGACACGTGTCTGCAAAAGTCTAGCACTAATGATAATAAATACTTGTAACTTGATAAAGCGACGCACTTCTATTCACTCCGAAACAAATTTCTGACGACTTTTCGCAACTTTTTTTTTCTTTTTTTAAAATTTAAATTTATCTCGGAGCACTTGATTTTAAAAACTTCTTCCTTAAACACGCGATGAATTTTGTCGACATATTTCTGCAAACTGTGAATCATTATATTATTTAACATTAAAATGTTTAAATATCATTAGCAAGCAACCGTACGTCAACGCACTGCCATTTTCATTTGTTTCAATTACACACAAACGTTACAGAAGAATGCAGAGGACTCTTTGGTTTGTCACTGTCACTAAAGGAACGCGTCACACTCGTTCGCGTTTCAAAATAATACGAAAAAACCGATATTCTGTTTCCAAAATGGATGGCAAAACACCCCTTCCTGCCGCAGGGAAGCACAAACTAAACTTTTGGCTGACACAATAGCACGCACTCATCCACAAGACTCAAATCTTCACTCGCTTGGTGGAGAGACTTAGTTCAGTCTTGCACGAGCAACCAGTCCAACAATGTTCCAAGTTCGGCGCGACAATGGGATCGCTGTGACGTCACACTTGGACTTCGTTTCGGGCTCCGCGTTCCACTTCCTTTAGAAATGACGACGTCGATGTGAAAGCGTCTTCTGATTGGCTACGAGGTGACGCGTGAAGCGATCCGCCACTTCCTTCTGCTACGACTTTTGATGGGTGATTTCCTTTGACAGCTGTTCCTGTCCCAGCGGATGTGGAGTCCGCTCCGCCACACAAGAGACTCCTCCCTGCGCCACCGGTCACCACGCCTCTACTACAATTTCCGGTTCGGACGTTCGTCATCGTAACAATTGGATGAAAACCTGAAAAATGGGGGGAAAAGTGTTTGATACACGCAGACGACACAAACTTTGGAGGAAAAATCTGCATTTTTAATCGATGTTGTCACTTATTTCCTTAAAATATCTGCAGTCTTAATCGTAAGTGAAGATGAAATAGCACCGCCATTGTTACGTTACTGAAGATTACGGCAATTATTGATCTTGGCGAACTCTGACGTTGCTTTCGGTGAAACTTGTTGATCTTGTGCGCGTCATTTATCTTCATTAACTTTATAATCTACGGCTACGCGCCTCCCCTCTAAACTTCTTCACTCGGAGACTTCCACGTTTGTCTTACATCACGTAAATATCGAAACACTAACCGAACTTACGACGCACAAAATGGAGAACGATGGGCATCATTTTTAAATTTTAAAGTCGTAAACAATCGTCCCTAAATCCTTACGCGGACAAAGAAATATGCCACGTACACGTATTTTTTTTTTATTCGTAATAATAGCACTCCATTGCGCAGGTCTGCGGACGCGTCGCGGCCATATTTGTAACCGGAAGTGGCCTTAAAATGTGATCATGACTTGCGCTGAAGACGTGGAACGAGAAGTATAATTCGGCTCGTACCTCAAAGAAAACACGACGACTCCATGACAAAGATCAATTGGTTAATGCTACTTAGGGTAATAATCGATGTTTATTTTGATAAATATGGAAAAACCACAAATAAACAACGTAGGAAAAATTCAAAACTTGCTGAATCACGTGGTATATAAAGATCGAGTTGACGCAAAGAATTGTATTTCCCGTTGACAGCGAAATCTGACGGGAGACACAATGACTCATTTCTTAATTTACTGTTCATTAACTTGGCACACAATCCTTCTGCCATCTAATCTACTCGTACCCCAAGACGCCATGAAACAGTGACGGCGTAGACCAAACGAACTCACCTGCCCTGCATATCGGCACGTCCTCAACCAACTTCTTACGCCTGATCGTGGACGAGCCCGACGTCAGGGAGTGCCTCTGACACCTCCAGGCCAGTGTACCCACGACGACGAGAAACAGCAGGACCGCAGTTCCGGTTCCCGCCAGCAGTTCCATCTTCTGGCGTCTCTCCGTACTTACTTCGCCGACAACATCCCGGTCGACGAGCACCGACAGCAGTGGGCTGCTGACGGCGGAGACACCCTGGCTGACCGCCCGTGAGGGCTCTCCGGAGGACGGCGCGGACCGGAAACTAGACTGGAAGGTAACCTGTGGGGCGCGATGTGTGTCGATGACGAGAGGGTCGCTGCGTTCTGGCTGGTGGTTGGCCGTCCTGGAGACGAGCTCCACCTGCGATGTGCGAACACGAAAGCTCTTACCGGAATTCCCAAGGAAATTCATATCAAATGCCACTTTTTCTACATGATCGCTCCAGTGTTTAATCATCAGGCCTCTTAATGCAATACGGGCTTATGCAACAACAAAACTTGGCTTCTGATTTCGATCATAAAGACACCGGGTACTGAACGGAAGCAATGTGAGGGAATTTTACTATATAAACAGATTGTCTCTGAACGCAGGGGCGTCGTCCTCTGTCCTACCTGAATGTGATAGATGGTATCAGGCCACAAAGACAGGGTAACGCAGGTGGAGTCAGTAAAGAGGTTCCCCTTCAGACCTCCTCCGTCGACCTCCCAAGTGACGAGGTAGACGCCTCGGGGCACGCGAGGTTCCCACGCGACCTCCGCGATAACGAGCACCTTCTGGTGAATCAGAGACACCTCTCGGAGCTCCCACGCACCACCAACTTTATACTGAAACAAGAAACACTCACCGATATTTCCACAAACGTTCTACGGGACAAGCCACGGCCATTGAGGACTCTGCTTACCGCGGCAGGAGATTTGGTGGAGGTTGGAGTGACTTCGGTGTTGATCTTCTTCCGATGACCAGCCATGACCTTGCTAATGACGTCACTTCCCGTCGGGGAGGCCGATTCTGAGGGTAAGACCGGGCTGTAGATGGTCACGAGTCCTTCTGGGTCAACTACGAGGACCCTGATGGTCGCCGACCCCAGGTTGCTGCTATCAGCGGCTGGCAGGCGTACCGTCAGTTCCACGGTCTGCAGCAGAACGAACACGAAATCAGGACACCGGACGATTTGGCACCAACCAACAAGCCAGGTTACGATAAACCTTCTCGGGTAGCGGAAAAACGCCACTGCAACACGACCGTCGGCCACTTCCATCCACGTATCATCCTGACCTTGACACGAATCGCAACCCTTTAAACAGTCCACTGGTAACAAAATGTACCACCTGCATCGGCAATCGGTAACTGCGTTCTGTATTTACGTGTTTGGTATGATTCTCCCAATAAACAGCGATTACTTCCTTAAACAAGGTTAACCAGCTGATCTTTGTAATGGTGGAGTGTAGTGTTTTCTTCGCGGTACGGACTGAATTCTTAAGTTTCATTTGAAAGAGCTTCGGCTCCAAAGGTTAATTAGCGTTTTAGTCGTATTATTTCCTTAAACAAGGTTAACCAGTTGATCTTTGCAATGGTGAAGTCCGGTGTTTTCTTCGCGGTACGGACTGAATTCTTAAGTTTCATTTGAAAGAGCTTCGGCTCCAAAGGTTAATTAGCGTTTTAGTCGTATTATTTCCTTAAACAAGGTTAACCAGTTGATCTTTGCAATGGTGAAGTGTAGTGTTTTCTTCGCGGTACGGACTGAAATCTTAAAATATAATTTATATGAGCTCAGGTTTCAAATAGTTAGCGTTTGATTCTCTGCTGATCTTTTAGCTAGTATATGCCCCACCCATCGTAGCCTTCTATATTTTACTGTTTTAAAACTATGTGACTGGAAGTAAGAGATCACACTTCACTACAAACACAAGTGGCTGGTCTTTAGTGTTGTGTGAAGTGTAGAGTGATGATAAATGTTTCTGCAAAATTCAAAAATCTGTTGCCCACTCACCTGCGCGATCTGGCGCCAGCTAGAAGAGGATCCCGCCTGGCGCCTCATCACCACGTACACCAGGGGTCTGCTGGGACTCGTGGTCGGCGGTCGAGGCCACTGCGCCACCGTTCCGGCCATCTTTACCACCTCCTCGCCGCGGGTGTGTATCACGGGCTGTGACTGATGGACCTCCCTGGTAGCTGTCTCCCGGTGGAAGCGACAGGCCTGCTGACACCCGGGAAACTGAAACAGGGGCAGTGGAAACTCTTAGTCACACAAGAGATTGCCTGCTTTTAAGAAATTAGGAGGTTGATCACCGCGTTTACAGAAGTCCGACACCCGGACACAGTTCGATCAATGCGATCATAAACTACGTCTGTTTCTCAGACGCTGGATTTAATAACGTCTGTCTGTCCCAGGTGGCCTTTCCACGTTTCGCCTTTGCTGCGTTCTAACGCCTGTTAACCGTACGCAGAGCAGACAAAGTTCTCGGAATGAGCAATGATACATCCACGCTGAGTTT